GCCGGTGAGATTAGAACCGCTGAACTGCAGATAACAGTCAGCTGAAGTGGCCTGCAGTACTGCACCCTAACCACTGCGCCACCTCGGCTTCTTAAGTCCATAGCTATGACTTGCCCACAATCTTCTTAGAGACGGGCTCCCAGTTTTTATAGAGTCCAGAGATCTATTTCCGTTGCAGGCCCTCAACCAACCTGAAAAAAAATGTAAGCGCTTTGCCATTCAAAATAATTAAAAATAATCCTTTTTGTTTTGCTTCAGTGTTTTTTAAGGACCTAACTTTTAATGGAAATTGCCCTGAGCTATTTTGGAAGGGCGGTAGAGAAAGGAAATGAACTGAATAAACAAAGGCCACACTCTCCCCTCTATTAGCATAACAATGCAATGATCACATTAAACCTGAGAGGCAGAAACTGACTTGGGGTTACTCAACGGCAGATACTCAATTTCTGTTGACTTTAAAAGTATTTCTTCACGTGGAGTATTTCCGTGCCAGCTTCCAGTGGTTGGATTCGCTAAGAGGCTTGCTAAAGGATATTTGAACAGCATTTATTCAAGTCCCCACCCGATGAGAAACCAAACATTTTTAAAGAGAGCCTGCCTTACCAACATGTTTTTAAAAGTTATATTGTTTTCCCAGAGGTCTGAATTTTGCGTTGCAGCTTTCACGAGCTCGTTTCAAAATTACTGGCTTCGAAGCAACCGTTAATGTTCTTCTTTATGTAGGAGAGTTTATTAATATTCTAGAAGAGTCTCTCTACGACTCCTTTTTAGCTATGCTCTCTCCGCTGAGTATTCTCTTTCCATACTCTAAACCAGGGCTCCCCAAACCTTTGCGCCTCAGGGACCACTAAATTCAGGGTTTTAAATCCCGCGGACCACTAATAGGGTCTGTCTAATTACCGGCTGCTTGGGCGTGGCTAGGTGGCTGGGTGGGTGTGGCCAACTCGATGTCACTCACATGGAGAGGCGCCTCGCCGGCCTCTACTTTCCCCTCCCCTCCCAGCCACTCCTCGCCTCTCCACCCGGGCTCCTTAGGACCCCAACAGGAAGCAGTTGTTGGAGCTAAGCAGCCACCATGACAGTGGTGGGTTTCAAAAATTGTTCGAACCTACTCTGTGGGTGTGGCCTCCTTTGTGGGAGTGGCTTGCCGCCCATGTGACCTGATGGGAGTGGCTTGCCGCCCATGTGACCGGATATGAAGATGCTGAGGACACTTATTAGAACCACCTTAAATTACCTCA